CCCCTGCCACAAGTATCTTTATTCATTCCCATAATAAGGTCTAGGTAGCAAAAAAAATGGAGGTGGTGATTTTGGTGACCTGCTGCAACTTCAGTTGCTTGAGGAAAAGAAGCTAAGACTAGCTAGTGTGTGAAATTCTCAATGAAATGAACTGCAATTACGGTAGTAAGGTAGATTGTCCTGTGGGAAAACGAGAGCTGATTAAAGCTCCTTTAGAAGGCAGGGGAAGCAAACCTGTTTGCTAATTAAAAATTGGCTCCTGGAAGGTATTAGAAATCTTTTACTAATATCGATATTAGCGGAGAGGCCAGCAAAGGAAGCAGCACATTAGGTTTATCTATGAACAGTCTCCATAGCAATTTGTATAACACATTCTTTCTGAAATATCTTTGTAAACTGCTGGTCTTCGGGGCACAAAGATCCCATTATGTGTAACTGCAACCAACTAGGAAATTCTTTGAGTTTTTCAACTGTTTCTGCTAGTATTTATTTCTAAACAATTTTCTATGTCTTCTAAGACTGTGAACACAGGTTTGAGCCCATAAAACAACAGGATGGGAGTTCCAGTGGATATTTAGCCTAGGTCTTGGGAGATCCCTTTTCCCTGTTCCGCCATGCTTCTATGAATTCAGGGATGTTGTCAAGACACCCATTGCCTTTGCTTCCAAATAGTAAAATAGGAATACCAGCCCCACATTACTGTGTTTTGTATTGCTTTGCAATACACTCGGACACTATAGTAACAGAGGATGTGTAGCACCTTGTGTATGTTGAATACCCTTTTTTCATATTCCTGACCTACATGCTATGGATTTTTCTCCGAATCTCTCCACATCACCAGCTGGTGGAGAAACAGAAACCACATCAATCACAAATCCATTTACTAATTCTGCCAGATAGCAGAAATTATTGGTCAGAGGTTTGCAAAATACTCTGAGAAGATTCTGCGCTCACAGGGTATCCCGGGAATGGGTTCATGAAGTGTGAGGAGACGCTGGGGGAGGGGCTATCTTCCCTGCTCTCTGTAAAATCTGTTACCATCTATTGGCACTCCAGGCATTGCAGGCTCTGCACTGGTATACACCATATATTTTTCCTGTCCTCTTCTCTTCCCTGGGCCCCATTCGTGCCTCAGGTAGGGCAGGCTAGAGAAACAGTGTCAGCAGCCACAGCAATGAATTGTACATCTGGACAGATCCGCTCACAGGATGGAGTGAAGGACGCTGATGACGGGCCTGTGTGACGATCATGCCCCTAGCGGTAGGAGACCTGCGCCATCCCTCACTATACGCTGAGGGGAAAGGAACGGATGGGGGCCAGCGGCCAGGCGGGGGCTTGCCTGTCACCACAGGAGAGAAGCTGGGTAGACTCTTTAAAGTGTGACTGACTCTTGAAACTGTATCTACCAGAGAGAAATGAACGCTATGAATAAAATGGCAAGGTACTCGAACCCGCTGTGCCTGTGTCACGCCCACGTCGTCGCACCCAACATGGTGGCTTCGCCCGGCCGTCACACTCAAGATGGCGGCTGCCCCGCCAGAGCCCACACTCAAGATGGCGGCCGGGAGCGCTCTTTTTCCCTGTCCCCTTAGGCCCTTCCGTCATGCTCCGTGCTTATGGCGCCGGAAGCGGCGGGAGGCTTTAGAGAGCGGACTCGGCGGAGCGGAAGTCGCTGAGGTGGACGGAGGTGGCGGCAGCGAGCGACGATGAACAACAAATTCGACGCGTGAGTCGGCG